TGATTGATCTTCCTCCAAAATAATCTTTCCTGCCTCTACTCTACACAGACGCCGTCCTGTTGAATCGGCTCAACCGATTCCTACCCAAATCGACAGAACCTACCTAACATGAACTTGAGTCCTGGCTTTGTTGCTGTTGACTCTTCCTTTTCACAGTATATACTCAAATGCTCTATTCCTTCTAACAAACGTGACCCAACATAAGCTTACCCTTCCATTTATCTTTCTTTCTCTTTCCTTTTTCTTTTTCTGTCCATTGTTTTCTCTTACGTTCCCTTGCTTTCCTCTTCTTATTCCTATTACTATACCTTCTCATTGGGTGGTTATAAATAGGAGCTGCCTCGTATGGTCCAATGGGCCTTCTGCAGTTCTTATTCCTACTACTGTCCCCTCTACTATACCTTACCTCTCGTACCTTTTGCCTTGTTCCTCACTTCTCTCTTGCCTATTTATTGCCTTCATCTCCTTCCCTCATCAGTTACAAAGCCCCGCTCCTGTGCCAGGTAAGTCCACTACGGGCTCACCATAGCCCGTGCTACTTGCCCCGCTCCTGTGCCAGGTAAGTTACGGGTTCACCATAGCCCGTGCTACTTGCCCCGCTCCTGTGCCAGGTAAGCTTTGGGCTCAACAGCCCGTGCTACTTGCCCCGCTCCTGTGCCAGGTAAGCTACGGGCTCATCACAGCCCATGCTACTTGGAACTTGTTTCGAGTAGCTGAATCTATAAAAAACAACAATAACTTCCCTCATGACAATCGACTTGAGAATGGTCCAGGACGGACCGAAACGTCGTCGTCCCTTCACCTTCTAGTGTGTGGTCTGGTCAACATACTTCAGCAACGTTATTGTGACTCATCGTCTGACTCCTGAGTGTTATTTTTTAGCAGAATTCTGGCTCACTTAAAGCTGTGTATGGAGTCAGCCTCCACCACATCACTGCCTAATGCATTCCATTTGTCTACTACTCTGACACTCAAAAAATTCTTTCTAACGTCTCTATGGCTCATTTGGGCACTCAATGTCCATCTGTGTCCCCCTAGTGCATGTGCCCCTCCCTTGTGGTAAATGGCCTGTCTTTATCTACCGTATCAATTCCTCTGAGAATCTTGTATGTGGTGATCATATCACCTCTAATTCTTCTGTCTCCCAGTGACGTGAGGTTTAATTCCCGTAGTCTCTCCTCGTAGCTCATACGCCTCAGTTCGAGTACTAGTCTGGTGGCAAACCTTTGAACCTTTTTCAGTTTAGTCTTATGCTTGACTAGATATGGACTCCATGCTGGAGCCGCATACTCCAGGATTGGTCTGACATATGTGTTATACAAAGTTCTGAAAGACTCCATACACAAGTTTCTAAAGGCTGTTCTTATGTTAGCCAACCTGGCATATGCCGCTGATGTTATCCTCTTGATATGAGCTTCAGGGGACAGATCTGGCGTGATATCAACCCCAGGTCTTTCTCTCTCTCAGACTTTTGAAGGATTTCATCTCCCAAATGATACCTTGTATCTGGTCTCCTGCTCACTACACCTATCTTCATTACATTGCATTTGCTTGGGTTAAACTCTAACAACCATTTGTTCGACCATTCCAGCAGCTTGTCCAGGTCTTCTTGAAGCCTCAAGCTGTTCTCCTCTGTCTTAATCCTTCTCATAATTTTAGCGTCGTCAGCAAACATTGAGAGGAATGAGTCTAAGTCGTCTGGGAGATCATTTATGTATTTCAGAAAGAGGATAGGTCCGAATACAGAGCCCTGTGGGACTCCACTGGTGACTTCATACCAATCTGAGGTCTCACCTCTCACTGTAACTCTCTGCTTCCTATTGCTTAGGTACTCCCTTATCCACTGGAGCGCCCTAGCAGTTACTCCTGCCTGTTTCTCCAGCTTATGCATCAGCCTTTTATTGGAGTACTGTATCAAAGGCTTTCCGACAATCCCCAAAAATACAGTCCCCCCCATTCTTCTCTTTCTTGCTGTATTTTTGTCACCTGATCGTAGAATTCTATTAATCCTGTAAGGCAAGATTTACCCTCCCTGAACCCATGTTGACTCGTTGTCACGAAGTCCCTTCTCTCCAGATGTGTTACTAGGTTTTTTTTCTCACGATCTTCTCCATCACCTTGCATGGTATACAAGTCAAGGACACTGGCCTGCAGTTCAATGCCTCTTATCTGTCACCCTTTTTGTATATTGGGACTACATTAGTAGTCTTCCATATTTCTGGTAGGTCTCCCGTTTCCAGTGACCTACTATACACTTTGGAGAGTGGCAAGCAGAGCGCACCTGCATACTCTTTCAATACCCATGGTGAGACTCCGTCCGGGCTAACAGCCTTTCTCTCGTCCAGATAAAACATATGCCTCTTGACTCATCTCTAGTAATTTCGAACCCTTCCAAGGCCGCCTGGTTTTCTGCCACCTCTCCTTGCGCAGTGACCTCTCCTCATTCTATTGTGAAGACCTCCTGGAACCTCTGGTTGAGTCCCTCACACACTTCTTAATCATTTTCTGTATACCTGTCCTCACCCGTTCTAAGTTTCATCACTTGTTTCTTCACTGTTGTTTTCCTACTGATGTGACTGTGTAGTAGATTTGTTTTAGTCTTGGCTTTATTAGCTATATCATTTTCATATTTTTTCTCAGCTTCTCTTCTCACACTAACATACTCGTTCCTGGTTCACTGGTATCTCTCTCTACTGTCTGATGTTCTGTTATTTCGGAAGTTCCTCCAGTGTAGTGGCCCCAATCAGCGTGTGGCTGAGGTTCTCTGCCAGCACTTAGCTGGAGTGGTTGTGGGCAGAGAGAGGCACCCCCGTAAAACTGCTGGTAGGCTGGCCCACGGCAAAGGTAGACTCGCCAGTGTTTCCCAGTACTGTGGCCGGTAAGGTCGGGAACGGTACTGTGTGTCGGGGAAACACGAAGATCGTCGAAGGCTGCATTGTGTTAGCGTCGAGGAGTGCTTAGTGTCCTATATGAGTGCGACACCTGTATATACATTTACGTGAAGAATTATTTCATTTTTATGTTTCTATTTAAGGTGATGGGAATATATTGATAAAGGGATCAGTGTTGTGTTCATTCCCCCTTTTAAATATAGTGCATTACCTAGTCAACTCCTTGAAAACCACTACCGACTTGGGGTCGGATACTATCACTTAGGTTCATCCATCAAGAACCCGGTTACGACCCACAGTGGCCGTAACACAAGGAGAAACTGAATGGCAGTAATTGCAAGTCGTCCAATAATATAGCAAAGGTCAGAACTTCAGGAGCATTCTGTTTTGTGCAAAGGTCCAATCAGGTTGTCCATTTTACACACATCAAAAAGGAATCGTTGGTCAGTGTAGAACTCAATCCACTTCAGTTGTTCGATAAATTGCCTCCTGCAATAAAGGTGAAAGAGTTTGGCGATGTATAATTGTTACATTATGACATTGGCATGACATTTTGACATGTGTTAAAATATATTAGGCTTGTTGAGTGTGAAGAAAGCTAATTATAAATGATGCTTTATTTTCTCAACGTTTCTATGAAGATGATGTAGTTATATTCTTTTGTTAATATATTAACACACAAGCTTCTCTATTTAAATAATTCTTTTTAAATGAAATCATAATCCTTTTGTGCCTTGTACTGGAGCACCAGAACAAGTACTGTCCCTCCCTGTTTGTGGCCTTGTACTGGAACACCAGAGCAAGTACTGTCCCTCCCTGTTTGTGGCCTTGTACTGGAACATGGGCTACAGACCCATTCCAACAACTGTCTGCCACGCGGACTACAGTCACCGTAGCACAGTGGTAAAGCACGCGCTCGGCGCTTTGTGAGCGCTTTGTCCTAGGTTCGTATCTTGGTTGGGGGAGAGTTGACCGGATGCCAATCCTTAACTGTGGTTGACCGGGCGCCTCTGTTCACCCAGCATTAAATGAGTACCTGCAGGTTGTTAAACGATTTGGTGGGTGGTATCCGCGGAAAAAATTAGGATAAAGGACCTGCCCGAGACACTATGCGTGCTAGTGGCTGTACTAGAGTGTAAGAACTCTTGTATATATATATAAATACAAAAAAAATGATAATCCCAGCAACTTGATCAGCACACAAAATTATATGTTAAACAAGAAACTATCATAAAACACCACACCCGGTAGACTATATAGCATCGTCAGTGTTGCTGGATATTCAAAACGGTGTTATTATCATTTAGGATGTCAATACGAGAACAAGAGGACTTAATGTGAGCAATATCAAATGTACTGGATTTATCAAGGATTCTGTCGCGGGACACTTGCAAAGCAAGGCAATCATCCTGAAAATGTTGACATTCTACATGGTGTACAACCAAGTGAGACAATGCAATTCTGACAATAAGGAACAGAGTGGCATACCATTAAATGCTCATGAGTTAGTGTATATAGCAATACGAAGTCTAGCCAGAGCTGTTTTCAACTATATATTACTGTGGTGGGAGGAAGACAAGGTGATAGGCTACCTTTAAGAATGCGCAGTTTGTTACTTGTAACAAATCACTATACTGTCCGACAGTCTACTACCACTGTCGGGAGCCAGTACTGTCCGACAGTCTACTACCACTGTCGGGAGCCAGTACTGTCCGACAGTCTACTACCACTGTCGACGAGCCAGTACTGTCCGACAGTCTACTACCACTGTCGGGAGCCAGTACTGTCCGACAGTCTACTACCACTGTCGACGAGCCAGTACTGTCCGACAGTCTACTACCACTGTCGGGAGCCAGTACTGGCATACAGGATGATGACGCTGTCCTTATCATTCCTCTACTATTTCCTGTCTCACTCCAAGACTGTTTGTGTGATGGCATTGTCTCAGGTGTTGTCTTAAGACTGTCTCATGTGGTGTCGCTACACCTCATCTGACACTGTTCAGCGTCACAAATGTGAAGAGTCTATACTACTACACTTGTATTACACTAATAAAGCTTCCAAAATCACAGCCTACACATTGTAATTAAATTGAATTAGATTAATAAAATAGAAAGTCTAGAAACCGCTGGAGAGGAAATCCATGGATTAAAAATATTCTCACTAAGGCGAAGAACTCGGCCACCAGTGTACGGGCTTCTAGCACTGTCATTGGTCACACTAATGAAGTTCTCAATATTGCTCCAATTTATTTCGAAAATTTGGAAACAAAAATGATGAGAAAAGTCTTATTTATACTGATATTGGCAACTGCCAAGGGCCAAATGATGGATCTCTTTCATCGCGATTTGGTTGCTCTGGGCGCTGCGTGTTCGACCGGGGGGTTTTGTAATGGTAGTGATTACCATAGCGAAGAGTACCAGAGTGCAGAAAAATGTAATTGTGATGACCTGTGCGCGGAGTATGGCGATTGTTGTCCTGACTCCGTCCACTACAGACGGGAAGATCAGGTCCTGCCAGAGAGGTACAAGTGTGTGACCGTGGATAATGAGGATAATGACAGGTTTTACATGAAGAACGTGTGCATGTCAGGGTGGGAGGACGAGGAGGTGGCCCAGCTGTGTCTGGTGGGCTCTCCGGCAGACATCTCCAGGAGCAGGGACCCGCTGGCCCACCTCCCCGCCACCAGCAGCACCACCTCTGTCACCTACACCAACTACTACTGCGCCGTTTGCAACAACGACTCCCGTCACCTCACACTCTGGAAGACACAACTGGAATGTGTCGACAGTATGGAATATTATCCAGGTCAGCCGGATAACTTATCCGGATACATAACTTCTCATTTAATATTCGATAACGGATCTTGGGGTGCATTTATTCCCGTTAATGGTAGACAAATATTTAAGAAATGTAATATTAACATTAAAATCCCCGATATTCCAGTTAATATTAGGAAATGCGACTCCACCATCAAGACGTGTGCTGAGAACTGGACGAACGCTTCTGTCGCTGCTCTGTGTTACTCCTACACAGCAGTGAGGTATTGGAGAAACGTGGCCTACAGGAACCCCCACTGTCTTCTGTGTAACTGGAAATATGCCTCTCCATTGAATTGCTTTATAAATCCTTATCTCAAGCCACCTGCTTTCTCTCTATTAATTGATTTTGGTTACCACAGCACTGGTAATAATGTCGGAATTGTAAACCTTTGCCAGCCCGGCGAAGTTTATGATAAATTTTTAAATAAGTGCAGAATATTTTTGTGGAGGCACATAAGTGAGGTAGACAAGGACGACAAGCGTTATCAAGACGACAAAAAGGTGACAACCATCACACCGGATTCCTCAGCTTGTTGTTCACACAGCACAAGGAAAGCCTTTCGTAGCAATACAGTGTCTAGTGAATCAAATGAAACACTTAATTGTGATAAAATACTTCTTTATGAAGGCGAATTCACGTTGAACGAGAAGAGAATGGTAACTGTAGAAGCTTACGCTCGAAGTTACCAGGTGGGAGAGTACGAGGTAACTGAAGGTGGCGTCCTTGTGTGCATGCCACAGGAACTACCAGAGAAGTTCTCCTCGGTGTTGGGTTGGGTGTCACTGGCGGGTCTTGGGCTGTCCTGCCTGTGTCTCCTGCTGCACCTGGCTGTCTTCCTCTTGCTGCCTCGTCTTAGGAACCTCCCGGGCAAGTGCTTGGCGTCCCTCTGCCTCTCTCTTCTCACCGCCTACACCATCTTCATCCTCAGCACCTTCCTCGAGCCTAAGACGACAGGATGTTACATCTCGGCAGTCATAATGTATTACTCCTTCCTCGCCGCCTTCTGCTGGATGAATATCATGGCCTTTGACGTGTGGCTGACATTTCGACAAGCTAAAGACGAGCTGCGAGTGTCAACAGGGCGACAGCGAAGCAAGTTCTTATTCTACAATGTGTACTGCTGGCTGCTTCCCGCCCTGGCTGTGGTGGTGACAGTAACCCTTGACAAGACCGCCCCTGTAGGTCTGTCCCCTCAGTTCCTGCCCAGCTTTGGTCAACGTTGGTGCTGGTTCGGGAAGCGCAAAGCCTTATTGGTGTTCTTTGGTGCTCCGTTATTCACAGTCATGGCTCTCAATGTTGTGTTTTTCCTTGTTACTTCATACACCATCGGTGCCAGCAGGGAGCCGACGCTGCGAAAGAGTTCGAGTCCACAAAATAAGAAACAGTTTGTGCTGTATGTGCGACTGGCCGTGCTGATGGGCCTCACCTGGATCACTGGCATCGTGGCTGGCTACCTGCAGCTGCAGGTCGTCTGGTACGTCTTCGTGGTCCTCAACACCCTGCAGGGAGCCTTCATCTTCCTGACCTTCACCTGCAGGAGCAAGGTGTGGAGGGACGTGCAGGAGCGCTGCCGGTCTTGTCTTCAGCAAGTTGTTTGTCATCCTGATCCAGATATACTGTTGCCAGGGTCAGGGCAGGAGGGGTTCAGCGTCGACAGTTGTCCCGCCTCTGGGCACACGGAGTCAGACAACCTGTAGCGCCGCCTGGGCCTCCGCGGCTCATCATTGGGCACACACCAGCGCTTCGTACACATATATACAAAGGTTTGGTTACTTTAGCTTTCAGAATATTTAAATAAAATAAAAAAATCTATTCATAAATGGTTGTACATTTATAAAACTCAAAATTACAGTTCATTATATTCGTAAGACAGCGTGAAAATAACAATATAACACATAATAATTATAATTATATACTTTATAATTTGGTTATTAATTTGGATTTCGAAGCTTTATTCCTCAGTGATTTATACAGACCATTTCAGCTGTGGCTCAAGTGATCAGATGTTACAGCCACATAAACAATTTACAGCTTACAATTGGAGCGTTGAAACTTATTTTGACAAAACAGCATTAAATTAGGATGATAAGACAATTGGATGAATAATATAAACTATTTGTGCCATGAAGATACATAAATGTTCTCAGCTGAGCCCTTTACATAAATAGATGTATGGGGTTACCCGGGATTACTCTCTCTCTAAACACACAGCTCATCTAACATGGATCTGGTTTCAATAGGATTTAAAATGCTTGTAAAAAAAGCAAGCTCTTTGTGAACAGTATTTCCTTAATAATTCGAAATATCCAGCTAGAGTATAGGTTGCTTCTTAGCTAATTTATTATTTCCTGTAGATCTGTTACACCATTATATACATCAGTCATTATTAAGCTATATTATCCCAGGTCAGCATTTATTAGATGCCACAGTTCGCGCCCTCAGATACTGACCAATAAATAACTTTACATTCCACCAAGTATAAAGATTACACAATTTACTCATAATGACAATTGTTCTGACTTTCAGGTTTCTGGTTGCATTAGACAGACGAACAAGTGAGCCCTTTGAGGATATAATCTTTGCCAGATACACAGACAGAAGTCACACTGTCGTGATGCATCAATGAGAAAATCCTCGAAAGCCGTGATGAGGGTTCGAACCTTGGCGCTGGGTGTTCCCTGGCACACTCTCTAGACAACTGCGCCGCGACATGGTCAAATGGATTGCAACCTGGGATACTACGGAACCCACGACGGTTCCTGAGGCTTTCACTGAAGGAGCTCTTAGATTAGTTTCTTAAAAGTTGTTGAATGTCAACCCAATATTTTTTCAGTAGTTGTTTATGAAAACGGCTGCAATTGTTCCACGTTTCAGTACTGCAGCCTAAATAGGAATGGAGATTTAATATTTTTTTGTTTCAACAAATATTATACATTTTCAAGTGAGTTCAAACCTTTCGAATTTTCCGATAAAATCATTCTATGACACTGTTCTCTGTTCTGACACATTAGCATATAATAAAGGATCTGTAGTAATGGATTTTCTAAAACATCTTTAATTGTCCTAATACAAATAGTCAAAGTTACCCCCAAAAAATATGCAAATATATCATGTTTATTGCTATTTATAAAATCAATAAATGAACTTAGGAAAAAACGCTTCCTTCAGATTTTAGAGACAAACTTTACATATAAGGTGTAAGTTTCATGTAAATTGAATAAAAATGAAAGAGTACCAACTCGTTTACGTTACTTGAAAATAAATCATTCAAATATTAAAGTCTAAGGTGCTGCCATCTGTGGCTGAGGTTGGCATCAACCAATTTCTTTCAAAATTGGCTCACTTACAGATAGGTTTACGTGCAGTCAGGTCTATTCATAAATGCATATCGTTTCATGCAAATCGTCCGATAAGCAAATAAGAAAAAAGAAAAATAAATTTGAAAAAAAATCATTTTTTTTAACAATTCTATTTTAATAAAACTAATTATAATATTTTTTAATATATGCTATTTTGATAGCTAAGAGTCATAGACATGATTTCAGTTGACACTTGTGTTTGATGTTAATTTTTTACCATTTTGGAAAATTTTTGACACATAATTCAGTATTTTTTTCTCCCTTCCTATTTATGCAACGATGCTGAGACTTAGACCACATGAAACCCAATTCATATACAACAGTCAAAAAGGTTTAATTGAAATCGAACTAGTTTTCATTTTTGCATTTTTTTGGAAATTTGGAACTAATGCTCCATGAAGCCGGACCAGAAATTCACACAACCCACTCCCCCCCCCGGGCACTCAGGCTGTCGTCTAAGAATGTTCTACCTCTGACGCTCCTCTTTCATTCTCAGTCACCCCACATCCCTGGTGACTGTATATGGACTGTGTGGCCACATCCCTGGTGACTGTATATGGACTGTGTAGCCACATCCCTGGTGACTGTATATGGACTGTGTGGCCACATCCCTGGTGACTGTATATGGACTGTGTGGCCACATCCCTGGTGACTGTAGATGGTCTGTGTGGCCACATCCCTGGTGACTGTATATGGACTGTGTGGCCACATCCCTGGTGACTGTATATGGACTGTGTAGCCACATCCCTGGTGACTGTATATGGACTGTGTGGCCACATCCCTGGTGACTGTATATGGACTGTGTAGCCACATCCCTGGTGACTGTATATGGACTGTGTGGCCACATCCCTGGTGACTGTAGATGGTCTGTGTGGCCACATCCCTGGTGACTGTATATGGACTGTGTGGCCACATCCCTGGTGACTGTATATGGACTGTGTGGCTACATCCCTGGTGACTGTATATGGACTGTGTGGCCACATCCCTGGTGAATGTAGATGGACTGTGTGGCCACATCCCTGGTGACTGTAGATGGTCTGTGTGGCCACATCCCTGGTGACTGTATATGGACTGTGTGGCCACATCCCTGGTGACTGTAGATGGACTGTGTGGCCACATCCCTGGTGACTGTATATGGACTGTGTGGCCACATCCATGGTGACTGTATATGGACTGTGTGGCCACATCCCTGGTGACTGTATATGGACTGTGTGGCCACATCCCTGGTGACTGTATATGGACTGTGTGGCCACATCCCTGGTGACTGTAGATGGACTGTGTGGCCACATCCATGGTGACTGTATATGGACTGTGTGGCCACATCCCTGGTGACTGTATATGGACTGTGTAGCCACATCCCTGGTGACTGTATATGGACTGTGTGGCCACATCCCTGGTGACTGTAGATGGACTGTGTGGTCACATCCCTGGTGACTGTAGATGGTCTGTGTGGCCACATCCCTGGTGACTGTATATGGACTGTGTGGCCACATCCCTGGTGACTGTAGATGGACTGTGTGGCCACATCCCTGGTGACTGTAGATGGTCTGTGTAGCCACATCCCTGGTGACTGTATATGGACTGTGTGGCCACATCCCTGGTGACTGTAGATGGACTGTGTGGCCACATCCCTGGTGACTAGATGGACTGTGTGGCCACATCCCTGGTGACTGTAGATGGACTGTGTAGCCACATCCCTGGTGACTGTATATGGACTGTGTGGCCACATCCCTGGTGACTGTAGATGGACTGTGTGGTCACATCCCTGGTGACTGTAGATGGTCTGTGTGGCCACATCCCTGGTGACTGTATATGGACTGTGTGGCCACATCCCTGGTGACTGTAGATGGACTGTGTGGCCACATCCCTGGTGACTGTAGATGGTCTGTGTAGCCACATCCCTGGTGACTGTATATGGACTGTGTGGCCACATCCCTGGTGACTGTAGATGGACTGTGTGGCCACATCCCTGGTGACTGTAGATGGACTGTGTGGCCACATCCCTGGTGACTGTAGATGGTCTGTGTGGCCACATCCCTGGTGACTGTATATGGACTGTGTGGCCACATCCCTGGTGACTGTATATGGACTGTGTGGCCACATCCCTGGTGACTGTAGATGGACTGTACGGCCACATCCCTGGTGACTGTATATGGTCTGTGTAGCCACATCCCTGGTGACTGTAGATGGTCTGTGTAGCCACATCCCTGGTGACTGTAGATGGACTGTGTGGCCACATCCCTGGTGACTGTAGATGGACTGTGTGGCCACATCCCTGGTGACTGTAGATGGACTGTGTGGCCACATCCCTGGTGACTGTAGATGGACTGTGTACCCACATCCCTGGTGACTGTAGATGGTCTGTGTGGCCACATCCCTGGTGACTGTATATGGACTGTGTGGCCACATCCCTGGTGACTGTATAGCCACATCCCGGGTGACTGTAGATGGTCTGTGTAGCCACATCCCTGGTGATTGGGGATGGACTTTGTAGCCACATCCCTGGTGACTGTAGATGGACTGTGTGGCCACATCCCTGGTGACTGTAGATGGACTGTGTGGCCACATCCCTGGTGACTGTATAGCCACATCCCGGGTGACTGTAGATGGTCTGTGTAGCCACATCCCTGGTGATTGGGGATGGACTTTGTAGCCACATTCCTGGTGACTGTAGATGGTCTGTGTAGCCACATCCCTGGTGACTGGGGATGGACTTTGTAGCCACATTCCTGGTGACTGTAGATGGTCTGTGTAGCCACATCCCTGGTGACTGGGGATTGACTGTGTAGCCACATCCCTGGTGACTGTATATGGTCTGTGTAGCCACATCCCTGGTGACTGTAGATGGTCTGTGTAGCCACATCCCTGGTGACTGTATATGGTCTGTGTAGCCACATCCCTGGTGACTGTAGATGGACTGTGTGGCCACATCCCTGGTGAATGTAGATGGTCTGTGTGGCCACATCCCTGGTGACTGTATATGGACTGTGTGGCCACATCCCTGGTGACTGTATAGCCACATCCCGGGTGACTGTAGATGGTCTGTGTAGCCACATCCCTGGTGACTGTAGATGGACTGTGTGGCCACATCCCTGGTGACTGTAGATGGACTGTGTGGCCACATCCCTGGTGACTGTATATGGACTGTGTGGCCACATCCCTGGTGACTGTAGATGGACTGTGTGGCCACATCCCTGGTGACTGTAGATGGACTGTGTGGCCACATCCCTGGTGACTGTAGATGGACTGTGTGGCCACATCCCTGGTGACTGTAGATGGACTGTGTGGCCACATCCCTGGTGACTGTAGATGGTCTGTGTGGCCACATCCCTGGTGACTGTATATGGACTGTGTGGCCACATCTCTGGTGACTGTAGATGGACTGTGTGGCCACATCCCTGGTGACAGTAGATGGACTGTGTGGCCACATCCCTGGTGACTGTAGATGGACTGTGTGGCCACATCCCTGGTGACTGTAGATGGACTGTGTGGCCACATCCCTGGTGACTGTAGATGGTCTGTGTGGCCACATCCCTGGTGACTGTATATGGACTGTGTGGCCACATCCCTGGTGACTGTATAGCCACATCCCGGATGACTGTAGATGGTCTGTGTAGCCACATCCCTGGTGATTGGGGATGGACTTTGTAGCCACATTCCTGGTGACTGTAGATGGTCTGTGTAGCCACATCCCTGGTGACTGGGGATAGACTTTGTAGCCACATTCCTGGTGACTGTAGATGGTCTGTGTAGCCACATCCCTGGTGACTGGGGATTGACTGTGTAGCCACATCCCTGGTTACTGTGTGGCCACATCCCTGGTGTCTGTGTGGCCACATCCCTGGTGACTGTGTGGCCACATCCCTGGTGACTGTAGATGGACTGTGTGGCCACATCCCTGGTGTCTGTGTAGCCACATCCCTGGTTACTGTGTGGCCACATCCCTGGTGTCTGTGTGGCCACATCCCTGGTGACTGTGTGGCCACATCCCTGGTGACTGTAGATGGACTGTGTGGCCACATCCCTGGTGTCTGTGTGGCCACATCCCTGGTGACTGTGTGGCCACATCCCTGGTGGCTGCCTTACAGGGCAGGTCACACCGTGGTAATATTGTTACACATAAAGGGTTTGTTTACCTTAAAAAATCTGTTACCAAGCTGAACAAATGTTATATATTATAAATATTATTTACATTTATGTAAACATAGCACAAGTATATTTCAAGTATAATCCACATGCTGTTTGTACTCTTTAAAGTGTATTGCATTTTACAAGTGTATATATTATGAGTGTAAACTTAAGATAAGATTATAAGAGTTTTGTAATGTTGAGTCTTTATTAACCTTCTATTTGTCAGTTTTCCAGCATTTGTATAACTATTTTATTCCTATTATTTATGTAATATTCTTACCAATTTACAGACCAATTTATGAGCTGTTTATTGTATGTAGTGTTTGGTGAGTGCTTCTGTTGCCAGGGTTGACTTAGTAAGCTGTTGTGAGTGTAAAGATGGGGTCTGACGAATGCTTCTGTTGCCAGGGTGAACTCAGTAAGCTGTTGTGAATGTATACATGAGGTCTATCCTTTAAATATGCAATTTTTCTCACACTTCACATTCCTTCACTGCATATTTCACACATACATACCGACCAATTACTGTGTAAGAGTTTTTACACCAGGTAAGA